TTGATAGACAACGATAAGTTTCGATTTCTTATCATAATAAAATGAAATCACCTTATAATCAAAAAAATATATATTGAATATAAGTTATATTTGTTATAAAGTATGATAAGCATGAGTATGTATGCAACCAAGGGCGGAGCCACATCCAGATCTGCCCCATGCAGCCAAGCATCGGCACTTGCCCACCCTGAAATAGGAAACAAAAAAAAAAAAAAAAATCCAGATCTGCCCCATTGCGCCAAGCATCGGCACTTGCTCCACCCTGAAAGAGGAAAAGCAAAAAAAAAAAAAAAAAGCTCTAGAAAAAAAAAAAAAAAAAAGCTCTAAGTTTTCATGCATTTGGGTAGAATCTAATTAAACTAATGCTTCTCATATTTTCATGTGCAAAAAAGATGATTTGTGATTAGCATTTGCTAATGTATAAATTAAATAAACTAAAAGACGATGACGTATGTTTAGTATATAATTTTTTTATTAGAAAATTAATTTATTTTATTAATATAAATTAGAAAAAAATTTAACATTTCAGACAACTAAACCCAAAGCATCAGACTTCCCTATACATCCAAACCTAACCCAAGAATGTTAAGTAAAAAAACGTGAAAACCAAAACAGATCAATATAAAACAAACAATAATTACTCCTTTTCTTGAGTTAGAAAAAGAGAGTACATAAACAAAAAGAAATCCAAACCAAAATTTAAATCCAAGCTAAGAAAACATCTTTCGCCTGAACTCCGTTATGTGTAAGAGAATCAGCAAAATGATTCTTACATGGACCAGAAAAATCAAATATGAAATATTTGTTGGGGCTTTAGGCGTATACAATTTTAATGATAAATAAATGAAATTTTCATTTAGCTTTTATTGACGGCTAGATACATATATAGCAAACTATGTAGTATATGCTTTGGAATATATAGCAAATTCATATTGAAACTTTAAAATTTTAAAATATATAACATAGTTAATTACTTTTTTTTCATTTATTTAGAAAAATATCAATTCACTTAGCTACACATTTTTATCTCCATCCTCACCAAAAAGAACTTAAGAAATATTATAGATGAATGGATTTAGGATAAAGCGATGATTTTTATTTTTAAAATTAATAAGATATTATTATATTATCAATATAAAAAACTAGCAATTTCTAATTAAATTTGAGAGCTAACAATTAAAATTTATTATATTGAAATTTAAAAATAAAGATATATTTCGGCCAAATTTTTCTTTTCATTTTTATTTGCATATTTGTTGTTGTTTTATTTAATGTTAATTAACTTTAATCGACTCACCTAATCAAAATTTCTGCCTCTGCGCTGTCCCTTTTATAATATTTCTCTTCAAAAGATAAATCTTTGAAATTCCATAATAGTTATTATAAAATTATATATTATTTGAAACATATTAAAGTCTTTTTTGCTACTTATGGATATGAAATGGAAGATGATTTCGGATAATTATGGAGATGAAAGGATGTACTATGATAGTATGTAGCTGTTGTTTTGCATATAATATAAAAGTCTATTTTAATTTTTGAACATATGCGCAAGAGATATCTCAATTTTCATTAAGAGATGAAAGGATGTACTATGATAGTATGTAGCTGTTGTTTTGCATATAATATAAAAGTCTATTTTAATTTTTGAACATATGCGCAAGAGATATCTCAATTTTCATTAATGACTCAGAATATAAAACAAACAGTAAAGTACATTTAAAGATTTCATAAATCAAGAGGTTAACTATTAAAACTTAATATACTTAAATCTTGATATTCTTGGTTAGTGGGAGTTTTGGTTGTGACCAATGTATTTTGACTCCTTTACAAATATATACTTAAATCCTTTTGGTGATAATTTTATTTGGGTTGTAAGGTATTGTTTTGATGATCATCGTTTTATTTTTCTAGAATATGCACGATGCATGTTGATTGATTTTATAAATAGCTATTTAAATAATGCAAACTAAAGAAAATCTTAAGTTGTTCTTAAATATAAATGGTTTTTTACTTTGGAGGCTTCTAGTTGAAGCATTGTAATTTGCAAGTTATTAATATTCTGCAGATTAAATTGAAGTTTAAATTGTACTTGACCATGATTGTTATTGTTGAAAGAGCTTCTTGGTAAAGCATAAATGAAGCAAATAAAGTCTTAAGTTTTACTTAAGCATAACTGTTTGTTGTTAAACGGTTTCTTGGTGAAACATTAAAGTAGTCTCGTGAGAGACTTAAAGCAAGACAAAGTTGAAATTAGCTTTGATCACATGATGGTGCTAATTTTCACACCACACTAAACACATAAAGTTCATGTAAGTAAATAAATTAATATTTGTAATTGCCGATTATCTTTGTATATTTAAATGATAAAATAATTGTCATAGTTCAATGTTAGTTGTTTATTTAACCGAACTGTTATGCTTGGAGCATTCTTTTGGACTATATTATTTTCAAATTTGCAGCTACATAAAAGTTTTCTTTATTAGCTAATCCAAGAGTCACTTTCTGAATAATATTTTATTGTAAACTAACAAACAATTTACGGCTAAGTGCGAGAATGTTAGAAATTAATTATTTCTATTAGGCTTATTGATTGTATTTATCTGTTTTGTAAAATATTTGGGTTAAACTTAATAGTCCAAAAGGTTTAATTTAAAGCTCATTATTATTGAGTGATCATTAAAAGAATTAATGAGTCAGTTAAATGTGTTTGGTTTAAATGTAGTTAAATCCTAATCTAGATTAGGATTGTATATCCTATTAGTGTTACGATGGGAGACCCTAATAGTTTCATATATATAGGTTATATTTTCTCTCTAGTCTACGCCGTCAAGATAATAAATTATTCTCTGGGAGCTTGTAGACATAAAGAGGATGCACCTAACTATTCCATAGACAATTGTGCATAGTTATTTTAATTTCTTTCTACTTATTGTTAGGGGTCAATATTGCATCAACGGAAGCTAATAAAATAACTTGTAAATTATTTTACTATTTTAAGTGATTTCAATTTATATATGAGTATCTTAGATATTAAAATCTAACATCTTTTTTTCTTAATTTAAAATATTAAATAATATTTATTCTATAAATAATTGCTCACTTTAATTAGCTTTCCATTATACTTAAAAATATTTAAATATTTTTAATTTCAAATAAAAATTTAATTATAAACTTTACTTTTTATGTTTTATAAATTTAAGTTAAATAAAATTTTTATTTTTTCAATGACTACTTGAGTTAATATAAATAATTAAACAAATAATAAAAATAGTTAAAAATAATTTATAAATATTAAATATGTTTTCACAAATATAATTGCAATATTTTAATTTACTAAAACAGATAAAAGTTAATATTTTCATTTTATTTGAAATTATTTTGACTAATTAATAAATAAATATTAGTCTATACAAAAAAAAATATTTTTTCTAGGACAAGAAAATAAAAAAATGCATTGTCCTAAATGTACGTCATGGTTGCAATTTCTATATCCGTTACGGTGTTGTGTGTGGGATTTACCATTAAATTTAGAAGCGGTTATGCTATCCGTTTCTAAATTCAGTTCCTATTCCGTTGCCATGTATTATACATCTTGCGCCATGATTTGCGCAAAATTTAGCAACAGATAATTTCATTTCAATCATCCGTTTCTATTGTTATCCGATTCCATATGAGATTTTGAGCCCTTTTCCATGGACATCTGTTTCTGATCCGTTGCTATTTAGCAACAAGATAATTCCGTTTCTAAAGTTCTGTTGCTATTCTCCAGTCAAATCGACATGGTTGTGAAAATTGCTTTTTTTTTTTTTCCTATAATTCGTGTGTAAATTCTTAGATGTGAATTGATGTTATGTATATGCAACAATTTGGAAAGAAATTAAGGAGATAATTGATGTTATCAAAAATTGACTTTAAAATCAGATTTGCACATACTTTTTTTGCGAAATATGCACATTTTTAAAATGAAAAATAAACTTTCATTTCCCACCAATTTTTTTCCATAAGATGAGATGACAAAATTTAAAAATTTGATTAAGTTATTAATTTCGGGTTAATCAACAGAAAATTAAGCATTACTTTTGCTGTAATCTCTCCTTTAATTATGTGTACAAGTCATTAAATATATTTATGCAAATAAATTGGCATGAGATATTTGATGTTTTTTCAATTAGTGCAATGTTAGCAGCAAAATAAGAAAATTTTAGCGAAAGAATTAAGACTCAACAGATCTGGTCCGACCAATTTTAGATCGAACGGGTTTTCTAGCGCATTTGGTGGGACTCACTTGGTTTCTGTTGAGAAATCAAGATGCCATCAAAATCAACTGATAGAACGGTCATAGTAAATGAAAATGCGATGTACTCGACTGATTATTTGATGATTCAATAATTGGATGCCTTCGTGAGCCCCACCAGAGGCTCAACTCTTAAAACAAACAAATCAACCCGAGCTTTTGGTGCTAAAATGCTTCATAATTTTTAAATAAGCCAAGCTCAAGCTTCAATATAAAAGCTCGAAACAGCTCGAGCTCACATCTAAACTTTGCTAACCAAACTTGAACAATTCAGTTTTCGATTTGGTTCAACTCATTTACAACCCTCTATTACAAACAACTCGTTAACAACCCTCTATTACAAACTTAGGTTTCTATTTAGGCACCGCCAAATATATAATTATCCCTAAAGAGAAACCAAAATAAAAACAAACTATTTTCAATTTTCATACCGATTTGGTTTTTGACTTCTTAAATATTCTTTTAGTTTTTAAAATAAAAATTAACATTTTATTATTTTTTTTTATTAAAATGGAGAAAATTAAATTAACTTGCATATTTTAAATGAATTCAATATCCAATAAAAATTCAGAGGTCAAATTATGATCCTAAAATTAACTGTTGGTATGTTTATGTTGCATCAGTTGTTGGTCTCCCTGTGCTCCACAGGTGGTATTTTTTTAACAAAATGTACTTTTAAGAAAAAAAAAGTTGTAAACAAATATAAAATTGAAACAATGTAGATAAGTAATAAATCACATCATAATAACAAGTCAAAAGAAAAAATTAAAATAGAAATACATTTACACCTGCACAACATAATCACAGTTGAGTTGATCAATAATGCATGAAACTGACAATTCTTTGCTTTACACAACTTGAAGACTGATTAATATATCCAACAAAAATTCATAAGCCATATCCAATCATGCAGTATCAGAGACATAACAATTCCATTTAGCTGTAAAATCATCATGCCATGCTTTCCAAACACTAAGTTCTCTCATACCTGTTTTCTGCCCTACCATGAACAATAGTGCTGTTCTTAAATAATCATCAAACAAAAAGACTTCTTTGATGGAATCAATAAAGAAAATTAAACAAAAAAAGGAACAAGTAAAAATGAACTTTTGCTTACGGTTTTTAACTATGAATGACTAAAAGTTAGAACCAAATTAAAATATAATTAAAGAAAAGGTATATCAGACTCACCTGTTGTCTTTATTCAATAAAACTAGGTACAGAGGATCTTGAGAAGTAAGCTGAAATAGCTGTTCAACAATGTAGACACAAGTAGTAATGCTGAAAAAACGGAATACCAAAATATCAGCACTTGATTGCAAGACATTAGAACTTTTTGTTAGATGATAAAAATGGGAGCCAAATTAGTTGGGGTTTATCACCTGCCAAAACATATTAACAGAATTATCCACAAGACTGCACTAATAAAACTTGATTCCTTGTAGGCAACCCAAACCTAAATTCATATACAAAAGCACGTTATTAGTTTGACACAATGCATAAAAATAACAAATGTTTCTGGACAATTATGATTTCAAATAAACTTAATTTTCAATATTACCATGAGACCTTTGAGAGAATAGATGAATTCTTACTCAGTATCTTCAGCCCAATGGAAGTGCTCTGAAGATTAGGATTTACAAAATGGGCTTCTTATATGGGTGTGCGCATTATTTAGTAAACTTTTAGCATACCTGAACTAAACTATAAATCAAACTTTTCTCAATATATTCAACTCAACTAAGTTTCAACTTTGATCTGATTGAGGTCTGTTATGCAAAACCTTTTCCTCCACTATATTCAATTTATGGTTGCATTAGTACGGTTTAATCATGTTAAAACCCTTGTTAATCACTTCTCCCATGTCATTCTATGTCTCTACAATTTCTTATTTATAATAAATTATAAATTTACCATATAAATATTTGTATCTTATGCGGACAATAGAATAAACATACATGTTATATAATATATTGTTTTATTTTCAAAAATTTAGCTGAACAAATGAATTGCAAATTAAATGAAACTACAGTATTCTAGTGGTGCCTGATTCGATTTTCTACCAAAATGGTTCATTTCAGCTTGAGAAATTTTAAAATTCTCCAAACCGAATGGGGAATATGGTCTTTGGTTAAAATCTCAATGTAAATATATAAGATCAGAAAGGACTAATGGAAATGAAGAAGAGGAATAATTTAGACATACTGAGAGAGCCACAACATTGATGTAGAAGTCAACCAGTGTGGCAGCCATCCACCTGCAACCGAATTTTAGCAACAAATTAAATTCTCATGAGACATATACTATTAGCAGTTGAGAAAGCAAATATTTAGCAATGTAGGAATGTCCACACACTCATAAAAAAATGTCGGCAAACAATTCCATAACCTTGTACAGAAATCAACCATCAATAATTGAATATCAATACATGCTTGATCTAAGCCATAAGTTAAATTTCTCATCTCTTACTTTACTCAAACAGCCTTTTTCCTGTAGGAATAGAACCCAAACATAAAATCCAACAATTTTGTCAAGAAGACTGTTGAGTATAACACATTCCCTAAAAAAATACAAGGATGCAAACTGACCACCACCCAGATTATATGTGGCCTGACCTCTGGAATCATGTAAATATATTTCATTCTTCTACGGGTACAAGTGATAATTGTGACGCAAACTTTTGACCTTGCAAACAACACTAGTAAAATTAACAGTTTTTAACTTGCCATGACGTGGCCAAGCCTCAGTCCATTCTAGTTCAGATGGTTCTGATAGATAATATTCCCCTTTTCTGCAAGACACATCTTTTACTCGTATTTTAATAAATGACATTGCACAATACATAAACTTATCATCCAACCATCACAAGGTCCATGAACAGCACTGCGAAAAATTGGCCAATCAATTGTCATGCTACAGAAGCTTTCATAAAATTCACTTGACCAATTATATTAAGGCTCAATACTGAATGGAATAAGAGTAAGCATGATATTGGCATCTTTAGAGAAAAAGAAAGAGAAAAACCCTTGCTCATTATTGCTCAATTGCAATATCCATGTTAGCAAGGAAATCTTGCTTTGCTGCCCAGAAAAGGCATCATCACAGAAAACATTTTCCAGCATGATAAAAACAAAGCAATTAAAAATAAGAACATTAATGACTATTTTTTCTTAAATCAGTAGGGCCCAACAACATTATGATGGCCTATCAAACAGTACAGTAATATACATTAAAAAAAAAAAAAAAAGGAAAAGGATAGAAAGAATATAAGAACTTACGGCGTAAAAAGTTCTTTGCGAAAAGGAGAACCATCAGTTACAAGAGTGTAGATCAAAGTTCCCAGCATCAAACAACCCAAAATGCTAAAACCAATTCTTGCAGCCACAACAGGGGATGCCTTCCTCTTGTATTCCACTGCATCCCTAAAAGTGGGATTCTCAGGCATGAGTGAGGGTAGAGAAAGGGATCGACAAAGGAGTGTGATATATAGGATAACAGCATGAGTGGGCTGACGAAAGGTCCATGTGGCTAATTCCAACAACACTGAGGTTAATGCTTAACTGAATTGTATTTAAATATGAAATTTGGGAAATTAAGATATGCAAAAGCAATTTGATAGGGGGTTACTGCTGCTTAACAACTTAGATACAGGACATACATATTTCTCACATACATGAAACTGTGAAATCTCCAAGCCTCCACTAGTGGGACAAAGGAACGGCAAAGGGAAAAGAAAGCTATAAAAATTCCAAAGTGAGTACAGCCTACAAGCTTATTGATCTTTCCAGTGTAACAATTTGTTCTTGTTCCAGTTATAAGTGCAATAAAGAAATACTTGAAGTTCTGGATACATACTTTTTAGCGTGATGCAGTAGAACATGGTACATTGGGTCTTGTAAAGATTCTTGAGGCGACAACTTGAGGAATTGAATGAAAATGTAGAAACAAGTCGTATAAGTGCAATAAAGAAATACTTGAAGTTCTGGATACATACTTTTTAGCGTGATGCAGTAGAACATGGTACATTGGGTCTTGTAAAGATTCTTGAGGCGACAACTTGAGGAATTGAATGAAAATGTAGAAACAAGTCGTAATGCTGTCAGCAATTGACAAGAAAAAAGATAAAAATAAAAAATAAAAAAAATCTGAATGACAAAAAGTGACAAAATACCATAAAAAAATTACGAAAAATTAAGTGGCACATGATATCAATTATTATATCATTTTAGGTTCATAACTACATACTAAACTAAAGAATTATTAGGAGATAAACGAAAGCACAACCATGAAAGAAACACACCTGCCAAAGCAAACTAGAAGAATTATCCAAATAATTGCACTAACACAGTTCGATTCCTTGTAAAAAGTCCAAGCCTGATAAAATAGACAATATATGTTCAATCAAACCAAAAGAATAAATAAAAAGTGATTAAAAGCTGAGTTTGAGTTTGAGGTACCGCTAATGGGACGACGTTAATGTAGAAATCAACTAAAGTTGCTGCCATCCACCTGAAAAGCAAAACATAATAGAACTTTAACAAAAATCGGCGAGAGAGAGAGAGAGAAGAGGATATTTACGGTGTGAGGAGAAGAGGATATTTACGGTGTGAGGAGGTCTTTGCGAAAGGGAAGGCCATCTATGGAAATGGTGTAAATCAGAGTGACGACCATTGCGCAACATAATATTAAAAAGAGAGCTTTTAGCCCAATTGCTAATGGAATCGCCATTACTACGACGACAGAGGTTTTCTGCGAATATTCTAAGAGAGTGCAAAGCAGAGAGAGTAATTAGTCAAGACTGAAGATGGAGATGGGAAGACGAAACGAAATAGTGGGGGAGGTCGTGTCCACGTCATCGCTGCCTAAAGATTAAGGTTAGATAAATTACACGTCATTACTAAAGGAAGTAATTGGTTTATTTGGAAAGCAGAGAAGAGTAAATAACAAAGTAATTTTGTTGATGTGATGCTTAAACATACTTAGATAGTCCAAATAGATGAAAAAGTAAAATCTACACTGTATATAAATGTAGAAATACATAAAAATACATAAAGACAATGGAATTTTGGATATCTCTTTTAATAAAATTTAAAATATATTAAAATAATTTTAATTATATCCAATTAGAAAATTTTATTTTAAAAAAATATTTATAATATTTAATTAATTAAACAAGCTGATTAATGTTACTTGAATTTCGTTACCGGATTGATAATGCATTTTTTTTTTTTGTTAATTTGCTTGATGTTTATCTTATTAATATAAAATCCATACATACATATAATAACATTGTAAATAATATAATAAATCATTATGGAAAAAAAAATAATAATATTCATTCTTAACTCTCATATATTATGTATCGTACATCGTATTTTTTTTTTTTTTTTTTTTTATTTTTTTTTTTTTTTTTGAGTGTTATTAAATGTGTATTTTGTGACCTTTTAAATTTTTTACAGCAAATATTCGTCCCGCACCCGCAACGATATGCTAAATTTTTTTTTTTTTTTTTTGAGTGTTATTAATGTGTATTGACCTTTAAATTTTTACAAGCAATATTGTCCCGCACCCGCAACGATATGCTAATGTTTGGTTAATATAAAATTGCATTTTCTTTTTTTTCAAAATTTTGAATTTATTAATATAAAATTTATTATTGAATAAATGTAGATATAGGTAAATAATTTTAATCATTGTTAGTAGTAGAAAAAAAAAATTCATCTTAAAGCCACTGAATTTGTTTTATTTGGACTGTTCATATTTTTTCAGATTAAACTTTTTTATGAAAAATTTCTATATTGTTTTATTTTTCTACAATTTAGTTTATATAAAGTTAATATTTTAAATTTGTTTTAATTTGATTGGAGTTATTTTTTAAATAAATACGTGTAAATAATTAAGCCTTTCAAAATTTATAAGTTTTAAATTTTTTAAAAGTTATTTAAATAAATATATGAAAATAAAGCATTTGAAAATTTTTAAATTTTTAACTTCTCAAAGTTATTTTTAAATATTTGATTTTATTATTTGATTTTTTTTTATCCATCAAAATCAAATTTCATTGAATCACATCTTTTCAAGTTGAAGAAGAGGCTGATTTTTAAGATTCAAATTGGTAACTTTTTAAAATAATTTATTTCTTATTATATGTTGAGTTCTAGAAATAATTTTTTATTTTTTAATTTTCTTTTTCATTCTTAAATCAATTTTTAACTACTATCATTTTTATTTAGTAAAATATTTATATCTCTCTTGTGATAAATAGATGGCCTTTTGATAATTAAACATTTTTAATGTTGGATTTTTTTTTTTTTTGTCTCCTAAATTTATTTGAACAAAGGAAATAGTGTTTGGAAAATTAGAAGAAAACTAGATCTATATATTTCTGTTTTGAGTTACTTTTTTGCGTTTTTCTAATGTATATACAAATATGTTCATTTTTCTAATGTATTAAATAAGTAATACTCTTACTATAGGCAAAGTGATTACCACTAGCATTTTTAGCTCATGCTATTTTTAAACAATTCAAATTACTTTTTCTTTTTTTTTTCTTTTTACCTACCAGGAAGAAATAATTTTTTATTTTTCTACTTTTTTATTATAAATATATATAGATCTTGATCTAGGGTTGGGGATAGAGGTTGGAGATTGAGTGATGGTTGATATCCTTTTTGGACATCTATTAAGATTTTAAGAATCAGCATATATAAATTAGGGGCTGAAATTAAAATTTAACAGTTAAGTTGAACTGTATTTTGAGACAAACTTCATTATATAAATAGTATTAAGTACATAGAATTGGTATAACAAGTTGTTTTAACGGCAAAGCGCAATGTAAATAAACATTGTATTTATTTTAATCTAAATAAACATTGTGAGTTTTCAAAAAAAAAAAATTTCTATTTTAGAAATTTCTTTTATTTAATAAAGGGTATTTTTTGGATTTTCAATAATATTTAATGGGAAATTAATTGCTTTTTTGACGGAAAGACTAAATTATTTAATGGAATTAAATCTAGGAGACTATTTATTAGGTTTATCAAAATAGAAGGATAGACTGGTGAATTAGGTCAAATCTCAGGACTCACTACTACTTTACCCGTATTCTTTTGTATGGATAAGAGAGAGAAGGAAAGGCAGGAGAGAGAAAAATAATTATAATTTTATATGACTTTTTTTAATATTTATTTTTTACTATTTAATTCCACATCAGTTTTTTACTGCTTATTGACTGAAAACCGGCAAACGGACTTTTTTATTACTAAATTTATATATTGTTAAGTAATGAATTAAAATATAAAGACAATTACAAAATATGTGTTATAGTTGACAGATCACCGGTGAACATAAGCCCAAAATAATGCCATGCTCTTTCTCCATATCCAAGCCAAAAGTATGATGGTCAAGTAGATGCAATCCTTGACCGCAATAATCTTTTAAGTTAGGAAATCGCTATTATTATTATTAATATATGTAGGGCTGCATGTGGATCAGATCGTATTTATTGATTTAAAGTATTTGATTCAATTCAATCCATTAAATGTATAAATTTGCAGGTTATAAACGGGTTGGATTGGGTTCAGGTTCAACGTAAACCCACGGATTAAATAAATAATAATAATAATAATATTTTTAAATAAAATATAATTATTTGAGAGGATCACTAAAAAAATGAAATATATTTAAAACTTTAATTATATAATAATTTTCACAAACTACAAATATATATCAATAACAATATTAAAATTAAAATTTTTAATATAATTATTATCATTATAATCATAATCAACAATGAAAAATTAAATTTTCTAATAAACAAGACAACTAGTAAAATTAGTTAGTAACATAATTATACAATAAGTTTTAGACTATATAATATAATCCAATAGCAACAAATTAAAGCAAGTGTATACTAAAGAAAAAAAAGCAATTAAAAGGCAATATCTACTGAATATGTAAATAATTTCGTGTTTACATTCAAAATTGCAAATCAAATCAAATTAATTAAAAAATTCATAATCACATAGACACACATATATTAAGTTATTTATTTGACATTATTTATGGGCTAGGTCGATCGGGTCTGCGAATTTATTTAGTAAACCCATGCTCCAACCCAACCCGTAAATTATAAAAATGATCCATCCAACTCAACCCATTATATCTTTAAACCCGCCGAGTTGGGTTAGATCACTCAGGTTGAGTCCGGTTAGAATGGATCAATGCGCAGCCTAATATATGTATGTTTGATAAAAAGAAATCCTATGACAGTAACTGCCAAAAAAACGAAACAAAAAAACAAAATGACTCCAACTATCAAAATCATCTTCAAAAATCTCATGCCATAAGTTGATTAATTGCTTAATGCTTCTAAATAGATTCAGTTGGTTGCAACATTGGTTTAAGATTGCTTATCTTCCTCTATGGCAATTTTGCGATTCTGCACTTAAGCTTTGTTGGGAAATTAGGTCTGCTTGGAATACTGCATCCTTGATCTATTAACTGCACGAGTTGATGTGTCTTTGGAATTTTAGGATTGTTGGGAGGTTAGGTTGACTGACGACTTTTGTGATGATGAGTAAGCATGCGTTGTTATGATGATAGGTAAGCACTCGCGCTGACCTTCAAAAAAAAAAAAAAAAAAAACCAAAAAAAAAAAAAAAAAAAAAGGCAAAGTAAAGGCTTAAAATAGGAAAAAAAAAAAAAAAAAAAAAGGGCAAAGTAGGCTTAAAATAGGAAATTTTAGAGATTTTTGGCCCAAAAATTTAATACTGGGCGGTTTGAATATAATGTACAAGTTTATGGGTCAAAATGAACCTTTTCCCAAAACTAATTTAGTTTCTAAACTTGTCATCCCATCTTATCCAAGAAAGAGGTGTGTCAATTTTAGATAATTAAAAAAAAAAGAGAAAAAAAGGGAATAATACGGTTAAATTGAGAGAAATTTAAACCTACTGAGAATATCCGATAACAATTACATTCTAAGAGATTATATCCTTCGTCTACATAAGCTCAAATAGTGAGGGAGATTGTGTAGAAGATATCGTATATGAAGGTTTAATAATATTATTTTATTTATTTTGATGGTACATGAATGTAAGGTAATGTTAAATATATAGATTATAAAAATACCCTTGTCATAGAAGATTTATAAATATAACTATCAATAATTTTGAAAACCCAATCTTTTAGGCATGCTTACACTTGAATTCGGCAAGTTGAAGATTGTAGTGTTTAGATGGTTTTCAACCCCTCAAATAACTTTCAAAAGATCATCATCTCCCTCAAACTCTCTTGCTAAATAATTAAATAATCTCTCTCTATATTACCTTACTTTACAAATACACCAAATAGCATTCATCCAAACAATCTGTAAGAGAGTGGAGAGTAGAGAGTATTACTCAAGACTCAAGATGGAGATGGAAAGACGAAACTAAATTGTGGGGGAGGTTGTGTCCATATCATCATTGCCTAAAGACTAAGGTTAGATAAAGTAAATGTCATTACCAAAGGAAGTAAGGCTTTATTTGGAAAGAAGAGAAAAGAAAATAACAATGTATTTTATTGATGTGATGCAAGTTTGGCTATGCTAGGATGGGTTTATCTTCTTGAAGGTGGAAAATTTATTAGTTTGGATGTCTTGAAGCTGTTTTTCAAGAATTTAGGGATAGTTGGTTTTATCATAGTTTTTCAAATTGTTCCTATCTTAAGAATTTTCTTTATTTTTTCTCTCTATTTTTAAATATTTCGTATGCTCTTCTTTTTGTAAGTAGTTAGTACCATATTTAAAAACTAATTTAGCATTTAAATTTGTCATCCCATCTCATCCGAGAAAGAGACATGTCAATTTAGATAATTAAAAAAAGGGGAAAAAAAAGAAGAGAATAATGCAGTCAAATTGAAAGAAACTCAAACCTACCAAGGATATCCAGTAACCACCGTATTCCAAGAGATTATATGCCTCTTCTGCATAAAGCTCAAGTAGTGGGGGAGGTGTTGGAGAAGGTATGGTTATGAATGTTTAATAATAACATTGTTTTGTTTGTTTTGATGGTACAAGAAGGTAAGGTAATGTTAAATATACAGATTATAAAAATACTCCTCTCATACAAGATTTATAAATATAACTATCAATCATTTTAAAAAACCAAATCTTTTAGGCATGCTTACACTCGAACTCGTTGAGTTGAAGATTGGAATGTTTAGATGGATTTTCAATCTCTCAAATAACTTGCAAAAGATCATCATCTCCCTCAAATTCTCTTGCCAAATAACTAAATAACCTCTCTTTATATTACCTTGCTCTACAAATCCACAAAATAACTTCCATCCAAACAATCTATAAATGAGTGGAGAGCAGAGAGAGTATTAGTCAAGACTTAAGATAAGATGGAAAGACGAAACTAAATAGTGGGAGAGGTCGTGTCCACGTCATCGCTGCCTAAAAATTAAGGTTAGATAAAGTACACGTCATTACCAAAGTAAGTAAGGCTTTATTTGGAAAGAAGAGAAGAGTAAATAAAAATGCAATTTTATTGATCTGATGCAAGTTTGGCTCTGCTAGGATGAGTTTATCTTCTTGCAGGTGGAAAATGTATTAGTTTGGATGTCCTGAAACTGTTTTCAAGAAACTAGGGACACTTGGTTTTATCATAGTGTTTCGAATTTGCTCTTATCTCAAGAATCTTTTCTATTTTTTTTTTCTTTAGAAATTTTTTTTCTCCATTTTAGATATTTCGTATTCTCTTTTTTTATTTATTAAGAACCAGATTTAAAAATTAATTTAGCCTCTAAATTTATCATTTCATTTTATCCAAAGAAGATGCGTTTCAATTTAGATAATTAAAAAAGGGAATAATGAGGTCAAATTGAAATATAAACCTTGTGATAATTGTTCACTACAACCCACAATGATTAAGAATGTGATCTATATCTTGTACTGCTTTGTCCAATTCTAGAACCAAAGTAGTATAAATAGGGAAATTGAGATCCAGTTAGGGTAAGAAAATACCTAAACAATCAATATAACATTCCTTAACCTATGGCAAATTACATGTTCTATGCTGTAATTTCAAGCATAACGATTACTACTCTAACTAGCCATTGTTCTGCTCAAGCAAAGAGTTATAGCCATGAACATCAACATAAGCTTTTGTTTGTTTTCGGAGACTCACTGTTTGATCCTGGGAATAACATATACCTTGATCCTACTCAACATATCCCTTCCTATTACTATCCTTATGGAATGAGCTTGAGAAATCATTCAACTGGCAGATATTCTGATGGCCTTGTTGTTCTTGATTATATTGGTATCTTTTTTTACTACAATAATGTTTTCTTATTTTTTCCAAAATTTATTATTTTTACTTTTTTCTATTAATTATATTAGGGGTGAGTAATTCGCGGATATAATCGAAAATTCAAACCGAACCGAGTAATTTGGTTTGGTTCGGCTGCCAATAAATTAGTTTTGATTTGGATCGCTAAGTTATAAATATTAATTTGGTTTTTTCAGTTATAGTGCGGTTAGTCTGAAAAAAAACTTTGGTTAATTCAAATTAATTAGATTATTACTTGAGATATATATTTTTTTATCTCAGATTTTTTTTTTTATCAAAACATTGCGTTTTTACCCCTTATTAAAATAAAACCAAGAGTGCAACTATGTTTTTATAATTTTTGTGACAGGTAACAAAAATATGATATAACTTTTGAGATCATTGACAATGAACGTCATGCTTAATTGGTTACTAACTGTAATTTTGTAACTGAAAGTTTATTGAATGCTTCTTTTAATGTTAATTATATTAATTGTTATTTGGATAGTTGGATTTAGATATGACTTGCTTTGTAATTTTTGTTTAGACTCTTGTGACTTGTTGGATTAAATAATTAATTTTATTATTTATATTAATTAATCAATTGCTTTAAGAGTCTCTTGTGACTTGTTGGATTAAATAATTAATTTTATTATTTATATTAATTAATCAATTGCTTTAAGAGTGTAAACTGCAAATTTAAAGACAGGAACACATATATTGAAAAACTTTTGGATTTGGATATTTTCTCGTAATCAGTTTGAATAAAACAAGTGAAAAATACTAATCCAGTTATTCAGATGATTGCAGTTTTTTTGTAATAAAACCGTATATTATTGGATTCATTTACTTTTGGTTTTATATTAAATATGGTTTGTATTTAATAATAGATTTATGAAATTCAATCATATTCAGACTGAGTTATTCGGTTTGGATTGGTTCGGATTAATCAAATGCTCACCCCTAAATTATATCCCGATTAAGATTGGAACTCGCAAGCTCATAATTCTAAAGACGACTAATATTATTTATTCAAACATTATTAGTTCTTTTATATATTTTTTGATCGATTTTTTTTCCCTAATTCACTAACATGTTTTTATTTTTTTAAAAAAAGCCTTATTTAATGCAAAATATTCTTCATTCTATCGTAGCCTTGTCAGCAAATTTGCACATAATTCCACCATTTCTTAAACCAAATTCAAATTTTGTTGATGGAGCCAGTTTTGCTTCAGCTGGGGCAGGTGTTCTTGAAATTCATGCTAATGCGGTATGCAGATTGCTCTGCTTTCTCTATTTTACATCCTTTAATAAGTAAAATCCAACTTATTATAAGTCCAAATGATAAATATATTATTAATTGAATTTGATTAATTTGCTCGTAGAGCTTAGATTCTTAATAAAAACGAGCAAAAAAAATAAAAAAAATGTCTTACTCTTATTCATTACATATATATTGCACTTTCAGATGAATCTCAAAATGCAAGTAACAAACTTGATGAGGGTGGTCAAGTCAATGAAAGATAATTTAGGTGGCAAAGCGGCTAAGAACCTTATAAAAGGATCAGTTTTCATGTTTAGCTTGGGAGGAAATGATTACTTTAACTTTGCAACTAATTATCCTAATGCTACCCAAGCTGAGATGAAAGACTTTGTTAGTTTGGTGATTGGCAATTTGACAAAAGCCCTAAAGGGATAATAATTTATAATTTTAGCAATAATACTTAGAAACATGAAGTTTATATGTATATATATATATATTGCTACTAGTATTGTAAAAGGATTTAAATTGGAATCCTGCGATCAAAATTTTAATGTTTTTTTGAACTAGATATCGAGCTTGTAACCTCCTAATTATAATTCTAGGACGATTTCAACAGTATTAAGTAAAAAATCATTGATAAATATAATTAATTTTTGTAATTACATTTTTATAGCTGAAATAGTAGATTTTGAAAGGAGAAAATATTTGAAAATTTTTATGTTTCTAAAGTTGTTTTTTTACACATATACATTGCTACTGGTATTGCAAAAGGATTTAAATTGGAATCTCATGATAAAAAATTTTATTCATTTTAATAATAGACAATATATATATTTTTTTTCAATAATTTCGTTTTAACTAGGTTTCAAGCTTGTAACCTTCAAATTCTAGGATGATTTCAATAGTATTAATCAAAGCTCATTGATAAATACAATTGGTTTTTGTAATTATACATTGATGGTTGAAATAGTAGATTTGAAAAAAAAAAATTGCATGTAGATACTTAATTAGCTTGACTAGTTTATTATTTTAGGAATGGATAAAAATATCTTTGAAAGTTAAAAATTCTGTCGCTTTTAGATAGTTATTTTAGCTATATTATTACACATTTAAGCTTCATCATTACTTAGTGGTCTACTATGTTTTGAAGGATATATATGAAGCAGGAGGAAGGAAATTTGCATTTCAGAATGTGGCACCCATTGGCTGTCTTCCTATGGTGAAGCAAACTTTCAACTGTACACCTGACCAGTATGCACAAGAACCCCTACATTTGGCAAGACAACACAACCTTGCCTTGTCCAAAGCCTTGAACAAACTTCAAAGAGACCTAAAAGATTTTAAATATTCAATTTTTGATTATTTCACTGAGATTGGCAATATGATAGATAACCCTTCTAAATATGGTAAGTCATATACATACAATTTATGCTTTAGTTACCCTTTACATTTTATATATTAATTGACCCATATTAAAACAATGATATCATATTTTTTAATTGTAATTTTGAAGGGTTCAAGGTCGGTAGAGTTGCATGTTGTGGCAGTGGAGCATATAGAGCATCTAATTGTGGAACTGAACCTTATGAGCTATGCAGAAACCCAAACGAATATGTGTTTTTTGATGGTGGCCATACCACTCAACATGCAAATTTCAGATTATCAGAATTAATGTGGAGTGGATCAACAAATGCCACCTGGCCTTATAATGTGCAGCAATTATTTGAACTTCCATGATTTGACTAATTTATGTTGTGAGCCATCAAATAATTTCTCTTAATAAACCAAGGGCATCAAGCTAGCTCTTGCACTTAATAATCTTGTACCATGCCTAGCTTCAGCCTCAATAAAATATTAGCCCCTAATAAATCTCCTATGTCCTTTTCTTGAAGAATTTTGCACATGCTTATCTAGCATGAGGCTATCCAACTTTCCTCGCAGTTTGGCTTTTAATAAAAATATTAACAAAAGATATAAATCTTTATAACAGCAACTGGTCTGTTAATTAATTTGGACGTTAAAATAATAATTCCTTTAGATCTTCTATAATTGAATTGCTTTTCTAATAATTTGTAACATATAATGAGCACATAGGAGTTTCTGCCACTATGCATCAATAGCATTAAAGAAGAAACATACCGCACTACCAAGCTCCATTGATTGAAGAATCACACCTGTAAATCAGAATCTAAAGTCTCAAACTAAATAAAGTCAAATATCATAATTTTATTTAGTAATAAATTCTCACAAAAAAGTATAAAAAAACTACAAATATAGAGATAAACCAACAATAACAAAAACAAAAAAGATAAACTTGTTATAGGAAAGATCTGAGTTTAGTAAAGCAAAAGAAGATAAAAACAAAATAAACTGAAGCAAAAGAGAGAATATAAATTTATATATCTTTGTTAAGGAAAGAAATTCTGAGTTTAGTAAAGCCAAAAGAAAAGATCAAAAACAAAATAAACTGAACAAAAAGAGAGAATATAATTTATTATATATATATATATATATATAATATATATATATATATATTATATTATAAATACGGCATTTAATTACTTCTTCAAACGTGTCAAGATATAAGTCATCGAGTAAATTGACTATATTACCCGCTTAATTTAATATTAATTTTATGAGAAAATTATTAAATTAAAGTAATAATTATTGGTTATATAAAAATAGTAAATATGAAAAAAAATATTTATTACTTTTTGAAACTACAAATGTGACAAGTATTTTAAAATAAATTATTTTCTCAGATATGACAAGTATTATAAAACGGATATAATATATTTTGAGCTCTAAAACGATTTATATATTAAGATGGAGCCAGTATACTCAAGCTATTATTAATTTAAGTTCAACTCCATAATTTCTATGTTTTTTTTTTTTTTTCACAACTGAAAATATATCCTCTGAATTTTAATTTAGGACTCAAATATCTTTACAGTATACAAAATTTATAACTTGCACTACTCATTACTCTGTCTAAGCAACCTAATGGTATTTCATAATACCCACAAAACTCTTATCTATCAAAAGTTTGTCTATCCTCACCATAGACATTGTCTCTGCATTACACTTTACTAAATTTAGCACTTCCTATTGAAATAACCTCACTCACCCATATCTCACCCCCATACTGTACCATTAGATCATAGTCTACTTCTGCAAAATCTGTACATTACAATAGTATAAATTAATTAAAATGCTCATTGCAACTAGGAATGACCACGATTTGGTTTCAAACTAGAATCGAACCAAAATCAAACTAATCAAAATCAACACTAAATCGTAGTCAAATCAAAAAAATCAACCTAATCGTAGTCAACATTTTGGTTCCAAACCGTAACCAAAAACGCCCACAACTTAAAGTCTACTTCCTGCAAAAATCTGTACATTTACAAACATTACAATAGTATAAATTAATTAAAATGCTCATTGCAACTAGGAATGACCACGATTTGGTTTCAAACTAGAATCGAACCAAAATCAAACTAATCAAAATCAACACTAAATCGTAGTCAACAATTTTGGTTCCAAACCGTAACCAAAACCGCACAACTTAAGGTTCGATTTCGGTTCTTTATTTTTTGCAATCGAAATAGGCGGTTCCGATATAAAACTGTGAAAACATGTTTTTTAAAAAAATCCCAATTTATTTCTTTTTGTTTTATTATATTTTTTAAAATAACTTTTAAGATTTTTTATTAAATTGGTTTAATTTCTTTCGAAAGTAATATTTATTATTATTATTTATTCATTATTATATTCAAACTCAAATCTTTAAAAAATATTTTAAAAATTTTAAAATATATGATTTAATTTCGGTTCAAAATCAGAATAAAACTGAAATCGGCAGGTTCAAAACTGTCTTAAAAACCATTTAAAAGTGGTTCGGTTCCGGTTTTACCTTTTTCATACCTGGAATCGGCAATTTTAATACTGAAATTGGCGATTTTGAAACCATAGCGTAGCCGTGCCTAATTGCAACCATAGGTATCAAATGTCAGTAAAAGCCTAAGCATTTTCGAACAATTACGTCACTGCATTACTGTCACGACCCGTTTCCATGGGCCGGACCGGCACTAGGGCCCAGGTAAGCTTAAGGCTCCCGAGGCCCGTAGTAAGCCTGAAACACTAAAATGTCACGACCCGATTCCACGGGCCGGACCGACACTAGGGCCCAGGTAAGCTTAAGGCCCCCGAGGCCCGTAGTAAGCCTGAAACCCTAAAATTTGCTATCTTAATATAAATTTCGAATATTCAGCCCATATTAAAAAAATAAGCCTCAAGATTTTATTTCATCTCATTTCTAATATAGGCTCAAAGCATCATTTCGTCTACGATAATACACGACTAAAGGTAAGTAAATTCTACAACTGCGGAGTCACTAACTATTTGATATACATAGCCTTTTATACATACAGTTACATACTGAAATAATTATGGAATTAAGGAAAATTTCTTTGATGCCTTGCGTCAAAGAAACGTAACCTAATTCGAACTAAAGAGGAACTTACTTCCTGAAAAAATTAAACAAGACATGTGAGTTTTTCCTAAAATGATAATTATTGCACAACACATACAGTCACACAAATGTTCAACACAGAAATGTGTAAACATATCAAATCTAGTCATCCGACTAGTTTATGCTCACGCAGAGCCAAGTCACACAATGGCACATCAAAACCAGCACTCACAATCATTAACATGCTTCATATAGATCACATCACGTGGAAAATTAGTCAGTGGAGTCACGAACCCCCTGATGAGCCGTCCTCTCACATGGCTCATCTCTCACATGTGCACAGGGACCGATCGCCCCATACTGGCCGACCGGTCTAATCCACTTGACCAAGCGCTGCTGCATTGTTTTTTCTATCCTCGTCTTTCTTTTTCATACCAACAGGAGCAACCCGGTGGTCTCCAATCCAATCTATAATCATCAAGCGCTCAACAACAGGAGGCCACCTGCGGGCTGGCGTCAAATTAGACTGTCCGGTGCGCAACGACGAGAACCAACCGTGTTAACGGTAACGGTAACGGTAGTGTGCACACGGGGCGCCCGATCTCCCATTTACCCGGCTAACGTAAAATCAAATAATTGGATCCATAATAACGGTAACGGTCTCACAAACCCATGGTGACCCACTTCAATCCCAATTCCCACACAAACAACACAGCAATATCACAACACAATTAATCAAGTATTGCAATTAAATGCAAGCATATTAATCAATAAACATCAAATAATGCAATGCAGCAATAACATCCAAATCAATGCAAATAAATAAATATAATAGTATTAACAATAATCACATAATAAAATAAAATAACATATTAACAAATAATAATGAAAAAAATAAAAAACTGATCTAGGTTCTATCGAAATTTCGACAGCATCTCCCCTAAAAATAGGATTATCTACCTGTTTAAATGTCACAATAACATTATATATATTTATCCATCAATACGCACAGCCCATCCGTCGGGCAATCAATCAATTTAAAACCCCATCCTCCTTCCAAAACAACAATGTCAACACTCAACCATTAATTTATAATAATCATGTTCGAATGATAATGACGATCATTATTTACTTATAATTATAACTAGCTTCTATAGCTAATTACCAAACAAATAAAAGCTTTAATATATATATAATCGAATAAAACTTATATCACTAAGTTAATTTCAATTACTTTCACTTGATAGTTTCGTAGTGTCTAACTATTATAGTACTCTTTATCAAGCTTTCATTTCTTCATTCTTGCTTAAAGTTGCTTAAAAGATAATAGCCACCATATTTAACCTTTGTTAAATTTTATATTAGCGCAAATACGAAACAATGCTTTAATTAAAATAAAATCTAAAGAATAATATCCTAGAGATTTAACTTACAGCTTAAAATATATCGATTTAACTATTCCTAAGCGAGAATTAACCTACTATTTCAAAATGTTTCAGTTATCTTTCGGCGTTTTGGATTCATAATAATGCATTCTGAAATGATTCTTCGCATTCATGAGTTTCAGATTAAATAGTTATTTACCTTATCAAAGGTCCTCTAAGCAGATGCTAATATATTTTAGAACTAGGCCTATTCGATCAACTCCTATTTTCAACATAAAATTAAAAACCCCTCTTATCCAAACTTCATGTCAATTTTCATACATGCTTAGAAAACATTAAAAAATCCCATATAAAGCTATAAAAATTCAAACAAGAAAATAATCACAAAAATAAATTCAGACGCCAATCAAAATGACTTAAGCCATTTTCCTAAATAGAATTTAAGCCATTACTTCAGCTTTTGAATTACTAAAGATTACTATTAACTAATATATTGAAGCTAATAAACTAACAGATCCACAAAGGAAGATAGATTTCCTATCTTAAACTGTACTTTTTGTATAACTAATTCATTCTAGGTATTAATTCATGTATTTATGTAGCTATATACTTAATTAACAAAATTTCTGCAGTCTTGATACTTTCTAAAGCCTAGATTATAAATTCAAGTCAAACAATAGTTTGAAATATCAATCAATGTCAGATTACATTACAAATCTAATAATATAGTCATACTCTACTGGTTGAGTGCAAAATTCTGCCTATTTAGCACTTTCCGGTTACCGGAAACATCCACCGTCGCCACAGGCCACGGTGGCCAGACGACCAGCAGGCCTGAGATCAAATAACAATATACTGAAAATAAAGAATGCTTCCTGTAAAGTTCGGTTTTGAGATCAATATCTACAAAATATGGCAATTAATTACTAAAACCCCAAATTTTATCAATTGACAAAACCTAAATCTTCAACCATCTCAAGTGGCTCATTCAAATTCAGTTTGTCCATTAA